GAAACACACGTGAGTGTGTGTTCATTGTTGTAAAGGTGTGAATATACACCTCAGCAGTAGCAGCTTCCTTGAACGATATTTAAACAAACTCCAGTGCCGCCGCCTTGAAGCGAAAAGTACATCAATCATACAATGTACTTACTCCGACGGTATACCGCGTATGAATGATACGGACTAAAATCGAAGGGTCCGAAACTTTTGAGAGCTTCAAGACCACTAACTTCGACTTTCTAACCCTTTTTCCGAACAATGTTCGTTAAAAACATACTTTGGTCGTTTTGGATTATCAATCATACCCTTTTTTCTAAAAGAAAAAAGTACATATTTATAATTGATATACTTACACAGCCGTGGAAAATAAACTTATAATTAACTATAACTTTATTGTTCACTACATGTATTTTTCGTACCAACTGATCATTTGTGGTAGATGCAATTATACGAACCCAACAAACAATCCACTTGGAAAGTACCTACTAAATAGTCCATCTGCACTTGTTAGGAACGGTAAATAGAACTTTTTTCAGGATAATGCGTTGGTCTCGCAACAGAATTTATTGTTCTGTCTATCGGAGACTTCACGTCCTGCTGACACCTGTCATAGGGTTATACCAATCAATCGATGGTCACGATATTACTACACGTTATAATATTATTATACTAAAACGTTGCGCGTGATGAAGATCTCAAAAAAGGGCTATTCAAGTGGTCGGTATTTTTTATATTATTATTATTATCATCGTCGTCGTTTATTTCTCCTGGCTCCCATGGATTTATTCCATTGTCACTGTTGTATATGCATGTGTCCGCGGAACTATTACGGCAGCAGCCGGTAGTGGTTGGATATGTTGTAGTGGGCGCGAGATCAATAAGCAAACGGCCGGAGACGAGAAGTCACTTGGACACACAATCGCGGGTATACGCGTATACAATGGACAGGTGTAATACGTGTCGGTTAGGCGAACAATAACCATCACTGAATATATACATACATAATATATATATATTGAACAATAATATATTGAACACAGGAAGCACAGAAAAGAGATAGTGGATGGTTTTATTATTATTTCTGTTATTACTTTTATTTCTGTTGAAGAAAACCGATTGACTTCTCAACAGTCGTATTTAGTCACTTCACACAGTAGTCCACCGTGATTGATATATACAAAATGGTACTTGTCTAAAATGCAGAAGCAGTGAATCACGATCACGCAGATGTGATGGGATTAAAAAAGAAGTGAAAAAAATGTAGAAATTATAATTATCGAAATCCCCTACTGTGGTTATTTCTGGGTGTGTTTGTTTTTTTGTAACAAATCTTTACGCACAGTTCAATGTGTTCAATATGTTGAACACATCGGAACCAACGAAAATTAGTGTACTTAATTTAGCTAGTTACGATAAAAAAGATTCAGTCAAGCTCACACATGTATATTATTAATGTGTTGTACACTGCAAACTGTTTTTTAACGATCGGGGCCAAGGCCAAGACCAGCAGAGAGGGCCCCATCAATTATTATTGTATTAAAATTTAGAGTAGATTCGATTTTGATTCTAATCAAATCACTAATTCTTACGAGTACGTCGAGACGGCCGTATGTGATTGATCCTATTTAATTAGCATAACGTTCCCTGTAGATTTTTAATTCCATCAAACGTATTGGTCGTTTCTGGCCAAGTAACTTTGTATTAAATGTTTTCATTTAAATGACAAAACATACATTCACAACTTTAATATAGGTTAAGTAGATAATCTATAATCATAATTTCCTTACGTCATCATGTCCCTATATGATCTATGAACTACTTATCCATCGTATCAATCTCTTGATTGACATGTAACAACTCACTGCCATGTTTTTTGATCAGTAACCGTTTTGATTTACTAGTTAAACTGACTGCATAAGCATGAAATTCAATATAAATTCAATAGCAATGATATTAATCTCGGAAGAAATAACAATAATTTAGACGGCAGTGGGCTTAACGACATCAGTACACACCTTTTGTGCTAGTCTATACACCGGACATTCTTAAACCGATTAAATCCAAGCTCTTTATCGCCATTATTCATTTCCGATACACGAAAATACATTCGGCACCCCTTAAAATTCATAATCGTCTTAATTTCATTCATCCGAGTATACAAGTAAAATTCAAGGTCTTACAGTAAAAGACCATTCAGTATCGAGTTTAACAAATTCAATTTTTCAACGCAAATTTGTGTTGTTTAAGGAAATACCTTATAAAAACTGGCGCGATCTCGCTAACAGAAAGGAATGACTTTAGGATGAAAAAACACACAATTTATAGATCCTCTATATAATGCGTTATTTACTTTACATTAATATGCTATCATTTTGATTTTTTTTCACGTCGTTACTACGGTTAAGACACAAAAACTGTTATTTTCACGTGTCGGTTAATCTAATACCAAAGGGAAATCATTACACCCAACGTAAACAGCAATGTTTTTCTTATCGACTCCCACCGGGACGGAGTCTGATTAGTGAATGTTCGGAAAAAATGTAACACGAGATGAAAAACAAAGAATAAGTATAGGAAAATATAATAAAAGAGTTTTTGAATAACGCAATTTTCCGCTCTCGACATTTTTTTTTTTTTGTCTATACACAGACGACGGCGATTATCCGACTAAACAAATGCGGAGCGATCGAACCCTACAGACTCCGGCGCAATTTCCATGGAACGTCTCTTGGGTGACACTTAAACGTCAAAAGACAAATATAAGCAAGAAACGGTAGCGCGGAGTCGGTGGAATTTCTAAAAGACAAAAAATATTACAGATAGTAACTTCTCTCCGGCCGACTTTTCTACCCATCCCCATTGGTTTTATTGCTGGCGCTCACGTTTGTCTACATGCTTACACTTCTATACAGTCTATTGCATGTAGGCTTTCACCGAATAGACCCTTGGGGTAACAAAATAGTTGGCGGACGGGTTGAAGTTTGAAGAAAAAAAATCACCCAGGACGACAATTGTCGTGCAATGTTTTTTCGTTTAGTTTTGATAGATTTTATCGCTTTTATATTGACTTCTATACTATCTATTTTGTCGACAAAACGGTTTTTCTCCCTCGTGTGCTTCTCGTTTTTTATTGGGTTATTATGTACCCCTTCTTCCTCATAATTTCTGCATACTATCGTTTTTCCGAGGCGTCATTTCTATTTCTTTACATCCGTTTCCTACGTTTTATATTCATAGAAACCCATCGCATATACGTGGCGATCGAAATCAAATAATTGAGCTGAAAATTTATGTGATACTTTTACAATTGATTCTTATCTTCAATTTGAGCAATTTTTTCACGGATAACAATAATGTGTAAAATAGCTTTAACAATATTTTATTTGAATAATTTTTATAAACAATTATTAATCGAATTTATAAATTACTTATAAAATTATAGACAGTTATAATAGCTGTCTAAGATTTTTTTTGTTAAGCAATTGAGTATTTTAATTGTTAGGCGTTTCAGTTATTCATCTTATTTATACCAACAGTATATGCGTATATAAATATATTAATAGTCGGACTACTGTTTAATTGTATATTCAATGAATAGAATCTATACCGAACAAAGGTATGAAAACGTAGTGAGAGTATAAGAAGACTGATGACCACTATAGACGCACGATTATTGAAATACTTAACGATGGGTTCCGGATTTCCTTTAGATTTTGGTCGAGTGGAAGATGAAGCATATAGGACAAACGTGCGTAGGGCTTTGAGATCTATTGGTACCGCCGAATGATGTATACTAGGCATTATTTTGACTAATGATCATTGAGCGGTGTAAAAAGAAACCGAAAACCATCGAACTCGCCGGTAGCCAATGCATTCCAACAAAGTTTATTTGCCGCCTATGCAATGGTTATTGACTGCCAAATGGACACTAGTATACAAATAATGATCGTTATTAGTACAGCTTCTTTTTCATCGTGTATTAAATATCCAAGCCAATGCTCTCAACGTGTAGTCATGTTGAAATAAATTACTAACCTATAGATGTTTTATACAGCAAAACACAAAATCTGTTCGATAATGTTAATTCAATCGTTTTTATTTAACATTGTTATTTATCAAATATACACATCCTTCATCCTAACTATTCAATCGATTGGCTATTTATTAGACTTATTAAACCAACTTTTATCTTTAAATATTTTCTAAATTTTATGAGTGTTATTTAAGACAATATAAGGGCATATTGTAAGTTATTCACAAATGTTAAGATATAAATCTACTTTGAATATTTAGTTATGATATACTTCACAATGATTGTGAATAACATTTGAGTATAAAATATTGTCTATTAAATAATAATTGATACTAAACTAAAACTACAAAAAAATTACTTTTTTTTGTATTGATCTTATTAATAAAAAGTATTTGTTTATTTGTAATAAAATTAAATTAAGAATTAGTATGTACAATTTTTATTTCTGAATAGTATGTAACAAGCATAAAAAATAAATATCGATATTTAAAACTGCGTGTCGTGGATTTTAAATATTAACACATAATAAATTACTCTTTAAAAAATTCGAAAAAGTGTCAAATAAATTACAGTAATTTATTTATAAATTTTAAAATAAATTTCTTTAAAAATGAAAATTAAAAAAAAATGTTAGTTCTATTTTACTCGTTACATATTACAACAATATACAGAGTGTTTAGTAAATAAGGAAACAAGTCAGTTGTCACAAACAGTGAGAACAATAAAAAACCGTTTCCTTACTTATTGAACACTCCATATAGATGATTTTATACAAATGATCCGCACTGGCTGCTGTTCTTCTAACACACATTCTAATGCGGAGAAGCCAGTATTTTATTGATGAGATGATACAAAAACTTTATGACGTATATCTTACACTTATATTGTAAGAATCTTTAATAACCTATGGGATTAAAATATTTACCAATGTTACATGCAAGTTATAGTTTTAACTACAGATTATTTTTTATATAATACCACTCAGACTGTCTATCTATCATTTCGGAAAAACCGAATGCGATCATCGTTGCTAAATATTTCTTCAACAGAATTAGTGTAGCTATCTCACGCTCAGATAAATAGATTTATCTCATCATCGTGGCTTACGACGACTCCAGATTTGCACCTGGAGGGGACGATGCATACTACAGAAATGATCCTGTGAAGTATGATCTTAATTGAAGAAATGTTACATAGTTGTATTTATAATTTTATTGAGAGCCTTAGCTATTAAACTAATATTTGACAAAATATTTTTTTCTATAAAAATTCATTTATTTTTGGATTTTTAATTTTAAAAGCAGTCTAATACATGATACATGTTGTAAATTCTTAATGAATAAATATTGATATTGCATTTATAGCACTTTATTTTCATTTTAAAATATTTTTTCTGAAGGACAATAAAAGTCCAAACGCATCAGCGCCATCTGTAGGACAGTATTTAATTCTATAATGATATGTATAGACCAGGGAACGAAAAACGTATAGAAGTAGACTAAATAGGGTCACACATAAGAAATAAATTAACCAGCCAACAATATAGGGTCCGTTTATCATAATCCGCTTAATTAATTACTCACAAAATAAATTCCATGTCAAAAAAATTTAGCTTTATATACTTTTTGATTTATCAGTTATTTATTATTTATTATTTATTATATTTATTATTTACTTCTTAGCATCGCCCTACATAATTTACATGTGTGTTAATTTTTTTTCTTTAATAGCATAATACATACACAAATATCTTATAAAATAGGAAATTATCTAATTATAAAAACAACAGGACAACTTTTTGGACCAATAATTCAGAAGTTATTAACATGTGTTACCTAGAAAAGAGCAAATAGTCTCGGCACAGAAATAGTTGTACTCTAAATTTTAAAATCGTTATAATTTCCGAATTATTGGTTCCAATCGATATTGATTGATAATTAATATCGACCATTTTATTTTCTTAATTCATTTTCATTGTGTAAGCTAAGTAGTTAAATTTTTAAGTAAGTTGCTATTTAAAAAAATTAAGCTGATACCCCTATAAGGTAGATGCTAAAAAGTAATAACTGATAAATCAAAAAATACAGAATGATTAGTTTATTGCAAATCACTAATTTTTTCCTAATATAATAATAATTTTGCAAAAAAAATTTTTTATTTTTTTGGTATTGTTTATTTCTTAATTTTTAAGTGATTAAATGCTGTTTTTCCCTCGCCCCGAACAAAAATGTCATCTTCATTTATTTCAACGTCAATATACTTATTTAACTTGTTCATATCATAGAAAACGATCTAACTAATAAAATGACTGGTAAATAACAAACTTTGAACCAGTGTTTTAGAAGTTATTAAAATTTTTAAATGTATACTAGAGAATAGGTGTAGATTATGTTACTTTTATTATTACACATCACTCAGCTGCGTCAATCCTCTCGTCCAGTTATAAAAATATTCCTATTGTATATTATATCCCAATATATAAATCTTATAAGGTCAACCCTTGCTGTATTGGAAAATGATAAACACCTTAATTTTGAGTAGACAACAAAAAATATTATGTTTGATAGTTAAAAATTGTTNTCCCAATATATAAATCTTATAAGGTCAACCCTTGCTGTATTGGAAAATGATAAACACCTTAATTTTGAGTAGACAACAAAAAAATATTATGTTTGATAGTTAAAAATTGTTGACATTTTTACACTAAAATTTTCGTCGAATATTTGACGAATTAAGACCAATTTTGGTAAATATGTGTTCAAAATACGTTTACATTGCTACATCAAATACTATCTATATACGGATCGTTTCTTAATTCATCGGTCGGTCGGTAGCAATAGGAAAGGCACGAAAGAAGGATGCTGTCTAATTGCGGTTCATCTATCATGTTCGTCGACTCGAATGAATCGATCGTATACAATAATAATAACATACTGTATAAATGACTATACACACACTCACGCACGTTCAATAATAATATTAATAAACCTCCATTCATTTCGGTAGCAGACACTATCGTTCGGTGGCGGTCAACGGCGCACAATCCATTATTCATTCGTCTGGTGCGTTTGCCGCCGCTGGTAACACGGACCACCGAACTGTTGTGTCTTCTTGCTTAACCAATTAAATCACTTCCGCCTTATATCGATAGTAATTTATTTGATGATTACTGAAAGCCGTCGAGTCGATAATCGTTATTTTCTAAAGACAAAAACTAATATTTATTTTGTAAACAAAGGTATTCGATTTTACATTCGTAAAAAGCCTGTCTGTTTCATTAAATCAATGAAAACTCGAGTTAAATATGCGTGAAATTTTCTGTTGTTTTTCCCGAGTTCAATTCTTCTAGAGACATATTTATTAAAAACCACATAAGCAGTATAAAAACTGAATAATTGTTGTTCTACTTGATTTATTTGAGAAGTGTATAATTTTTCGTGTATAATCTTTTGTTTCTATCGANCCGAACTGTTGTGTCTTCTTGCTTAACCAATTAAATCACTTCCGCCTTATATCGATAGTAATTTATTTGATGATTACTGAAAGTCGTCGAGTGTTCACAGTCGATAATCTTTATTTTCTAAAGACAAAAACTAATATTTATTTTGTAAACAAAGGTATTCGATTTTTACGAATGTAAAAAGCCTGTCTGTTTCATTAAATCGATGAAACCTTGAGTTAAATATGCGTGAAATTTTCTGTTGTTTTTCCCGAGTTCAATTCTTCTAGAAACATTTTTATTAAAAACCACATAAACAGTATAAAAACTGAATAATTGTTGTTCTACTTGATATTTTTGAGTAGTGTGTTATTTTTCGTGTATAATCTTTTGTTTCTATCGATAAGCTATTCAACAGCACGTCTACAGGTTTTAACGATGACTTTAACGAGTTTAATTAAGAAAAATTAAGCAACAAAAAATCTAAAATTGTCATTTTTTCGAGGGTGATTGATATGATAACGGAAAGAAGGGTTGACGATGATTCCCGGCATGTCGTAATTTAACCTCTTTCGACGGCGATACTGCAAAAGAGATAGGAGTTTAATTATTATCGCTACAAAAGGGAATATCAAAAGTGTTTTAATAACTGCCAAAGTTTTGCCTCATTCGTGGTAGGGGCGTGGTGCGGTGTCTTTTGGCCCGATATATACATACTATAAACATAATATACAATATATTTATAAATATGCACGAATGTTATTAAATACGTATGAGGGTTTGTGTGTATATATATATATATTGTATATAGGTACGGGATATGTGGCCGTATACAGTCGAGATGAGAGGAGTGCTACTTATACATAAAAGATAATATGATATTGGCTTTCCGTCTGAAATGGATTGGTGGTGGAGTGGATTCGCATATAAGGGGTGGCGCTGGGCTAGATGGAGGGAAGGTGGGGTCGGCGGAGAAGCAAATGTTTGATGACGCCATCGGGCAATGCCGCGGGTTCTTCTTATGAATATTCATCGTTGTCACGAGCGTCGCGCATCTTTTTCAGCCGCTCCGCCATAACTACCGGCAGAATTCGACTGTTGATTTATTAATCGCAAGCCGCCGATACAAAAAGGAAAACGGATCCCACTCGTATATAAGTGTGTATAATGTATATGGGTATACGAGTGGGGAAAACGATAATAATATAAAAAAAAAGTAATGGCGAACGCCGTCGTGTGTAAAAGATTGTCATTGCGACTGGTTATTTATTTTTTTCTCGTTAAAGGTATGCAGATATAATATGCAATAAAGATCTGAAGGGCGTCTTTCAATTTTTGAACTTAAAAGAAATTACAACAATACAAAAAGATTGAGCAATATTAATAGAACGAAATCATTGAATTCAATTTACAGGGAATTATAAGTTCTTTTTATTTCCTGTTAATATTTCCAACGAAATCAATTCATTGATAGTTTATTAAATCAATAAATGACATAACCTCCTTATAACAATGGATAAAAACGCTTCTCTTTTTTAGGTCACTCATTTATACAAACAATTATTTAGGATTACGAATGTGATGTATTAATTTTCGAATTTAAAGTTATTTTTCCTTTTTTTTAATTCAACGGAAATTCGTTAGATAATTACTAGGTTAAATATTTTATCTTTCAGTCGAATTTTTATGGCTATTATTTATACAAAATTTTTAATTTTCTGTTTTGAAATTTTGTGTTTTTCATTGGCGATCAACCGAATTATATGAAGTCGGTCCTATTACAACAATTCATACTTCAATTTTGAGAACAGACAAACATATTCGTTTATTATTTATGGTTCACTTGGACGGACTATGGACACAATTTACAACAATGACATTTTTAGTGCAGATAAGAGACGAACCCGGAGCCCAATTTATATACCGTTTTGTTATAGTTCAGATAATGTCCGATACTTTACTGAACAGTAAAACCAAGATACTTACATTTCACCAATGAATTTTAAATCACATTGATGGTGAAATATTCATTATACGTGTTCTGGAGTAAATAGCTGAAGAGTAGGCGCATAAAATGTTTAAATCAGATATCCACAATTAAACGCTTGCAACAATAAAAATAATAATGATTGGAAAAATAATAAAAATTGGACGAACCAATGAATCCGGTTAATGTACCAACAACACTAACTGAAATTCCTACACCTCTGTAAGATATAAAAACGAAATAAAGTATATATCTGACAAGGGACCCGTTTTTGTTCATATTAATTTTACCTTTTATTTTATTTTATGCTCGATATATTCAACATTCAAACTTGATTTACTAATTTTATTGGGGTATCAAAAATAATCATTATAGAAAATAATTACTTCATGTGAAAACATTTTGTTTGATACTCGCAGACTATTTTATTTACATCATACTTATAAATAGTTTCTTTTAAATAAAATAATAAAACACATTTATTTACATAGAGTAAGTCAAAATGTTCTAAGAAATGAAATACTTTTAATATATATATTTAGTTTTTTTTTGTTAATTTTTTACATTAACAATATACCACGAGGATGAAACTTAGTCTTTATGCCCTTTTGAATGTGAAACTGCATATAATTCTAGTCAATTTTTTATAATGACAGATATATATTTTTAAATGAATATACCAATATTTATTAGTATTTTACAGTATATATGTACTGTAATTATAATTATCCGGCTATTTTTTTTTAAATC